TTTTGTTCACCTTACATCCCTATCAACATCCTTATATCACAATCCCATGGATAACTCAGTCTGCACAGTAGTTTACGATTTAATTTAATTGTTAAATCACCCTACCTATCCTCAACTTACAACTCAAACCAAGCTGACAGTTTTTGTCCCCATTTATTTTATTATTTATTAGGTTACCAGCGAGATTCCTTGCTATGAAAACAGTTAATCATGAAATCAATTAATGAATAAGTGTCGAAGGTGTTTCTTCCTCTACTGATCTTTTCCGCGTTTTGAGCATCGCCTTCGTTTCTTATTCTGATTGAAATGACCGCACGTCTCCTTTGTAAGTCGTTTTCTCGTCTATTTCAGCATCCACTCGCCAGTAGTAAGTGGAACCTCCTCTGAGACCCTCCGGAAGATAATGCACATTCCCTTCATCGGTGATCTTCGCCTGGTACTCGGCAGACGTCGTTGTTGCATCGGCAACCTTCGCCTCGTCTGTTCCAAAGTACACGTTATGAGTCGAGGCACCGAAGGCGTTCAACCACATGACAGCATCTCTATCAGACTTTTCAAAAAGCGAATAACAAAGTGGCTCGATAAGTAATTTTGTGATTTCGTGCTGGCTGCGTTTAAGAAAGTGTATTCGTATTCTTAGTTACAGGCTTTAAATCGTTGGTGCTGCTATCCTCTATATCCTGAAGAGGCAAAAGGACAACTCAACACTTTGAATAGGGTTCTAGTGTCTGCTATCACTAACACATGTCAAGAGAACACCCCCTCCCCCACCCCTCTTCCCATACATGGGCCTCTTCCAACAAAAGACTAGTCTCTTGTAGAGGTATTTTGGTCCTTAAGGTGCGTTAGCGTGTGGCTGACTGTCACCTAGGGTTCTAAACAGGCCAGTAGTTAGAATCTTATTGAAAAACTGGTAAATTTAATTTTACGTCTTACTCAGGTATACAGGTCTCTTCCAAAAACGAGGTTATGACCGACGCAAGAAAACGATTGCTCCTCAGGTAAAATGGAAAAACTACTATTAACTATCTAGATCCAAAATTCTCCGCGGGCTCTTTAAAAGGAGCATTATTAGATGTGTGAAAAATATATAAACAGTAGCCTCCATCTGGCTCGAAAATATGCTCGGATATTTGTCCGCGGACATTATCTGTTCCGAGAAGCGAACAGTTTTCAGAGAGCGTAGCTCGAGGAAAACTGTGAGCTTCGTACGTTCCCAGTTTTAGTTGGGGAATATTCAGACACGTGTCGCGTTTAGACCAATCCCGCCCGAGCGAAAATATTTGATGGATCATAAAAAATAATACTGACATTACACCACCATTATTCCTGAAAACAATCGACAAAGCCATACCTTGACTGTGGTGCTACCATCAGGGGGGACAGGAGTGCCGGCCTTGTAAAGTTGCCTTCCAGGAATCCAATAATATTTGCTTTTGGGATCATAACTGTATGGTCCAACCTTATCCTTGTTGTATTTGGAGTCTTTACTTGGTCGGAAGTCCAAATTGTCCGCATCTACAACTTCCGGTCGCACATGACCCACCATGTTAAATTGCACGAGTTTTCCCGCCAGGGGGTAGGTGCCCCATGGTTTTTTCCTCTTGCCGCCGTTCGCTACGTCAGCTGCGTTACGCAGAACTACTGTCTGTTCGTTGATTTCAACCGGGTTGGAACGAACGAACTTTAGGACGCACAAAGAGCAGCCATCACCTTGTTTATCGCCACTTTTGTCATTTCTTTTCTCAAAGGCGAGATTGTTGAGCACTGTGTGTGACTCACCCTTAACCATGATCCCGCCACATTTCCACACCACGTTCTCCTTCATGGTTCCGCCGCGTCCCACTCGTGGGGGCCGCCCGTCAAAACGGAGGCCATATTTGGGACTCGAGTGAACCCAGTTGTTTTGGCAAAGAGCATTAGTCTGAGCGCCGATTTGAAACTGGACTCCTGCTCCATCATGTTGTAAAACTCCCCAGCACTGATGGTGAATGTGGTTTAACTTCACAACAGGATTGCGTCCTGAAGGACGAAAGCCGGCACTAGCGCCGTTAAAGCGCAAAGTGTTTCGAATAAACTGGTCGTTAATGCCGTTAGATATCACCGTTCCTAATCCGCCACTCTTTGATCTCGTGTTTGTCACGGACCAATCATTGTACTCAAACAGATTGTTCTGTACCAGAGCTCCATCTCCGCTGTATTGAAGGGCGAGGCCATCGGATCCATAAAATGTGCTGTTTACTAACTGGAAACTGTGCCCGCGACTTGGGTCGATCACTGTCCAGCGTGGGGGAGCGGTATCACCGAGCATGCGTTTGGAATAAGAGGGAAATTTAAAGTTGATTGAATGAAAAAAGAGGCCTTCTATAACGTCATGCCTGTGTGTTGGTCGTGCTTTAAGAGTGGTACCAAAGAATGTCAGCTGTTTGAAATGCAGATGTCGACAGTTGGAAATGGTAAACACATATGTCTGAACCTAAAAGAGTGAAAAGAAAAGATTCAGCACCGCATGCAACAAATGAAATACAATTCCCAGCAATAAATGAGATAAAACTAAAAGTTCGTTTAGATGGAAGTACTGAAATGCGTCAGTAAGCATTGACACCACTATTTTTTTTAATTTACACGACATGTAAATTTACAAAGGTGGCATGTGTTTCCTAAGTCACCCACTGGATGAAATTGATAAACTTCATTACTTATGTTTATCTCTAATCCCTTCCCTACCAGGGGTTTACTCACCGAAAACAGGCAATTCAAAAATTCAGCCCAGCAACAAATGACATAAAATTAGACGGTCGTTCAGATGGAAGTATTGAAATGCATCCGCTGACATTTGACACTTTTTTCTAATTTGCACGACATGGAAATTTACAAAGCTGACATCTGACTCTTAAGTCTTTCACCTGAGGAAATTGATAAACTTCATTACTTATGGTTAACTTTAAGGTTACAGTTAACTTACATTACATGCAAAAAAATTCGGACGATTTTTTTGTTGTTGTTTTTTTGGACTAAAAAACTGTCCGAAAACAAAACCGTCCTAAATTTTAAAGCTTCCAAAATTTTTAAGCGTCCAAAATATTTGTAGCACGGTATAAGACTTTTAAGAAGTTCCAAAACTCTCAATTTCCTTTATGGAGCGAACTATAGATGAGACACTGATTGAAATAAATAACAGTTTGGTAGAATTTGTGTTTTTTTTTTCCCGTCGGCATATCTTTAAAACCTTGAGGGTGCAGAAAAACTACCATTTTCACAAATGTTTCTCAGTCTAAAACGTGATTTGCAGACGTAAATTTAAATTTGGTATGTGTAAACAGTGTGCGAAATTTTTTTGTCCGAAATTTCTCCGAATTGAGATTGAAAAAGTGTCCGAAAATTATAACACGTCCAAAATAAAACGTCCGAAATTCTTAGCGAGGACTCTAAGTCAAAATGGCAAGAACTTTAAACAGCGCCAAAGTGTCTATTCCTCTACCTTCCCATGTATCCTTCCTTCAGGACTTTTTCCATCCAGCGTCTTCACATAAACAGTTTTTGTGTTCTTGTCGTAGAACCATTCGCCAGCTTGGTCCAAGAACTCCAGTTTATCCTCCAGAAAGTACTGATTGTGGCTCGCCTTGAATTTGATGTCACCAAACGTATCAGGGTAGGTGAAGAAGTTCCGGCCGGGAGCGTGGTTTTTAACAATGGCGGTAAAAGTATTGAAGCTACCGATATTTAGAACAGCCACGGCCCCTGTCGCGTTTAAACCGCTCCCAGCCAAGTTCTTTGCGCCACTGTCGACCATTTTTCCGCGCGTAGAGCTTTTGGCAGACTTTGCCCAATGCTTGTTCAAGAAGGCAGTCCTATCCGACCACAGAGCGTTTGGCCATCGGGCATTGGTCATCATTTCACCATCGATGAAAAGTTGCCAGATGTCCTGCTCTATTTTGGCTGTGTATATGCCATCCTTTGTGCGTTTCCAGGCAGAGTTTCCTATGGGTTTTAGGGAAATTGTTCCATCGATGATGGGCATCTCGTCCTGATAACTTCGTATGATGATAGGTTGCGACGGGCTGCCTTGCTTACCAGAGATCTGGAATTCTGATTGGTGATAGCGTCCTTTTCGAATGTGGCACTCGTCACCAGGGTTCTTCAGGGCGTCGATGCAAGTCTTGATGGTTGCAAATGCAGAGGGCACGCTTTCTCCATTGTTTGAGTCATCGCCTTTTTCCCCATCGACATAGTAAACGGTGCATCTTACGTAGAATGGTAAGACCATAAGAACGATCATCAGTATGGTAACGTTCCTCATGTTTATGGACACCTACAGACAGGGGAAAATCTGTAAACTTAAAGACATATCCACAGCCTGATTTAGAACCTCGCATAATTCACCTTTTGTTTTCAAATACAGACAAGGGGGATTTTGGATGGAGTGAATCTCAAGGATAATTAAAGAAATTGCCTAAATAAACCGTCAAATATCTCTTCAAATTTCATGAATATCTGTAAGCAACAAATTTATAGTGTCAAGTTTTCCAAATTAGTTTTGTTAGCAGGCAAAGAGCAGTGTTTTCATTTTCTCGAAGGAACATTTACTACAATCGCGAATTACTGATCGTTTCCCATTATTTTCAACAGCAACGCATGACTGTCTTTTAGATCGAAAACGGGAAATTCTCGAACTAAACCCCGCTCAAACTGGATCTTAATTTATAGTACATACCCGCTCTTTCCTCTTTTGATGTAATAACTACTGATTCACCAATGTGCGAATGAGGCCCCCACACAAAAAGAAGACAAAATGTCGCGAGCTACTGTTTTCGTTTTCCGTTTGCCAATCAGAATCACGTTTGTTTTCGTTTTGCGCGCAGCTGTACTAATTTGTTTGGACTTCTTTTAATAAACTCATTTTCAACTCGTTGGAAACTTTCGTGCTTTGTGAAAATAAAAGCAATAAAAAGTAGCTTTTGTTTAAACTCTATGTTATTAAAATGAATTAAAATAACAATGTAAAAGTCAAACTGGATTGTTTATGTGGACAGCTGCAAAATCATGAACAAAGGAAAGCAGTTTCATTCTTTGCGCAGAAGTGTCTTCTTGTTACGAAAGGAGTCTGGTTTTCGAATTTTGTATGCTCAGATGTTTAGAATGTGGTTTTCTTCAAAGCGGTTTCACAGTAATTGTAAAATTATATAGAACTGCTCTAAAGACATCATAAACTTAAACTGAAGTAGTAAACTGCATTGCCTGACATGAAATAAAAACGGTCCTGAAAGCTGCTTGCTAGTTTTTACAAAAGTGTTTTCATTAGTTAAAACTTCATTTAGTTTCACTGTAAGTAAACAACCATTGAAACAAGACGGGTACATCTTCGTTAAGCGAGAAGGCATTTGAAAAGGGCTTCGAGTTTCCTGAAGTTACTGGAAAAGTTAAACAAAAAATTTAAAGGAGAACGGAAGGCTAGAAGTCTTATTTTACATGGGAGCTTAAAACTATTAAAATAGCTTAGAATTGTAGTAAAAAGCAAGAAAAAGTGAATTTTGTGTTTCGAAAGTGACTAAGAGAGTCCAAAACCCGTGGTCATTTTTCAAAATTGAATGTCCGCCATTTTGGACATCTTTCGCACCGGTTACTTCCATAAAAGGAATGCCGGCCACCATGTTGTGACGTCACTGCGCAACTGCTTTTTTCATATGGCAACAACATTTGTGAAGAATCTTGAGTCGAAACTGCCTTCAGCTTGGATTATGGCTGAGATCTAGCCTTGTTCTTTTGAACCTATGCGAGACAGTTCGGAGTCAGGGGAAGACGATGTTCACGAGAGTCAAGATGAGCGCCGAAGACAAAGTGTATGCGAGTGTTGTGCTGAGTGGGAAGGGCAACAAGAGAAAGAATATTTATGGTGCAAGGAGATCGAGGAAGCCGTAAATAAAATTTCAGGTGAATAATACTTTGTATTCAGCAGATGTTGATTATTTTGGCACTAGGAAGTTAATAAACAGCCATAGACTCGATGGGATGAAAGTGTTATTTGATTTATTTGATTTATTTCGTATTTTGTCGTGGCGTGCGTGGCAAGCTCATATGGCAGCGAAATGGTTACGATATAACCTGTTTATATTATTTTGGTTAAGAAATTGAGACAGATCAACCGACTTCCAGATGTATAACACAGCACCCTCTCTTTCAAACGATTCGTTTACGAAGAGAAGTCCTAGAGATCGCTATCGTGGGTTCTTGTCAAGTGAGAGGAATGAAAGCAACAACATGTAAGCTTCTGTACACAAATGGTCACAAATAATTTGCCAGCAGTGAGATTTATTCCGAACGCTTCGTTGAGCTCGGTTAATCCTCCAGCATAAGATTCCATTGTACACAAACGTAACATTCCAAGCGCTACAAACAGTGCTATATACAATTCGATTTGACTACATGTACAATCTCAGCTGTTGTTGTCATCTGAACTCCTGATATTCGCGCGTTTTTCCCATGTGCGCAGTGACGTCATGCTATGAGCCCAAGCCTTCAACATGGCTTTCAAAATGGCGGACGTTCAAATTGTTCTGGTACGGAACTTTTTGCTGTTACAATCAGGTCACAAAGTAAGTTCACATCCTAAAACATAGCAATTTGGCTACGACGTATCATGTGGTTTCGTAAGAACGACTTTTTAAAAATTGGGTTTTCGTCTTCCGTTCTCCTTTAATACTCAGTGTTAGACCAGGGTCAGTTAAAAATTTCGAGTACCGATCACATTTCATCTCCAGCTGAAAAACACTATACAATAATTGCCTGTCCTTAAGCAAACAAACCCTTGTTTTTTGATTTTTTCCAAATTTACTTTTGCCATATAACAGTACTTGCCAATGAGTGAAATATCCTCCAAATAAGTGCTCCACAATTTTGTTGTGAAGATGTATATAATTATTACCCAGGTAATAATTGTCGGATATACCTTTTTCCAAGTCAAGAAACGTCGAGTTATTCTCCTTTGTAACGAGATTTTTAAAAATGAGTAGAGTACACAAGTAATTGATTATTCTTCACAAATGAAAAACTTTGCTTTATAATCTTTCCATGTAGGCTTCATTTGGAGAGCAGGTTGAATCTCAGGGAATCAGTTAGTTCCCGTTTCCAATGATTTTCTCTTCTGCTTCAAGTGTGCTGAGGGAGCTTACGGAAAAGAGTCGGAAAACGAACTCACGGTTCTCCTTGATGCTACTGTACTCGACATATATCGGAGGTAAAAAAGATGTAATATATCAAACACAAAAGACCTTGTTTGACCACATTTCCAAACACCGAGAAAAGAGTTGAAAATACGCCGCGCAGCGAAGTATTTTTGACGAAGTTCGAGGTGTTTGGAAATGCGGTCAAACACTGTCTTGAGTGTTTGACATATCTTCTCAATCGAAACTAAAACAAAGGAGAAAACGGAGAAATAGAATCGTAAAAATCTATGCTAATTAAGATCAGATATCCAAACACTCAGTGTCACTGTCATGATTTCCCTTGTTTAAACTTGATGAATTATTAAACTTAATGAATTAATGAGTTTGAGAAATATGTTTACAAATTAGGGCAAACGTGAAGGCAAAGAGTTGTTCTTTTTTAATGAGGATTTGAACGGAAGGCACATAAGAGGTGTTTTTTTTATATGAACGACCTTTGGTGATCCAACATTGTTTGCTCAGTCTTTTAATTTTCTTAGTTACGCATTTCACTTCAAAAAGGTTAACAGCTAAAAGCAAATATTCAAGATGGCAACACGTGGAATAATCAGTCCTGATACGTTTTCACTTGGACTTGTCTTGGAGCAAAATTAAATCGCGCAGCTCTGGAAAACGTCTATCGGTCGGAACCAACGAGTGACAAATAAAAATTGTATAAATTTGAGTAAGCCAACTATGAAAAACACGTAAACGTTTCAATCAATGATTTGTTTTAATTTAGCATTTCCAGTTCCCAAAAGAAAGTGAAATTTACCTTGTACTTTTATATCTAAAAATTGCTTCTTAATATAGAAAACAACTTATTCTCTACACTGTTAGAAATTCACGGTACAATCATAAAATTAATACAGTCATTCAACATTAAGGACATCAACGTTTCGTTCAAAACATCTTTTGTCTGTTTCCTCCTGTTGTCGACGTTCCTCACCACTCCGTTTGAAATGACCATACGTCTCCTATGTAAGTGGTTTCGTCGTCAATTTCAGCATCCACCCGCCAGTAATAGATGGAACCTGGTTCGAGTCTTCCGGAAAGGTAATACACGTTACCATCGCTGCTGATTTTCTCGCGGTATTCGGGTGACATCGGTGTTGCTTCGGCAACTGTCGCCTGGTTCATGCCAAAATATACGTGATGAGTCGAGGCACCGAAGGCGTTTAACCACATGACAGCGTCTCTATCAGACTTTGAGAGAAAATAACAAGGGAAAGTTGCTGAGAAATTATCCTCGGTATAAAGGTTGTGATGTGTGGGGGAGGAACGTTCGCTATTCTCCCCTTTAATCATGGACCTGTCATTAAATGCCACACATTTTAATTGCCGCCATAGCTTTAAGCAGATTTTCAATTTTTTTGCAGGGATGGTTCAGATCTATTGAACGTTTGAGGACTCAATTTGAGGACTAAGATAGAATGAATATTACGTGAAAATTTGATTACAGTTCTGCTCGCAAAATACGCAAATGTTGTATAGAAGTATGCACCGCAATTAACATCAATGAACGTTACGGTAACCCATATATTTGGTGTGTGGTTTCCCCACAGTGCGCTCATAATACTATCAAATGTTGCTACGCAAGGTCCGAGTCCCGTTGGATGTTCCATATTACAATTCCGTTTGTTTTCAAAGTTCGTTCAGGCCCTCTCCTTAGCGAGCTAAACAATAGCATGACTCAAAAGTTCCGGCAACTTAATGAGCCACCCCTATCAGTCATTAAATCTCTTTTTCAGTAAATATCGGCCCTGTATCACCTCCCCCTAGAATACAAATCATTTCAGTCGATTTTACCTTAACGGTGGTACTACCATCCGGGGGAACAGGAGTGCTGGACTTATAAAGCTGCCTTCCAGGAATCCAATAATATCTGCTGTAAGGATTGTAAAGGTAAGGTCCAACCTTATGCTTGTTGTACTTGGAGCCTTCCCGGGGCCGGAAGTCCAAATTGTCCGCATCCATGACTTCTTTCCGCACATCACCGATCACGTTAAACTTGACCCGCCGCCCCGGGAAAGGATATCTAACCCGTTTAATCTTGCCACTGCTTGCAACGTCCGCGGCGTTCCTCAGAACCACAGACTCACGGTTCATCGCAACCGCCTTTTGAGGAAAGCGCCCAAGAACACACAAAGTGCAGCCACCAACCGTTTTATCTCCACTGTAATCGTTTCTTTTGTCGAAAGCGAGATTGTTGACCACTGTCTGGAAATTGCCTTTAACCATAATCCCGCCACATTTCCATACCACGTTTGCCTTCAATGTGCCGTTATGTCCGAAGTGTGGGGGCTTCCCTGCGTCAAAGCGGAGACCAAGCTTAGGGCTTGAGTGGACCCAGTTGTTTTGCGAAAGACCATTCGTCTGTGCGTTTCTCTGGAACTGAACACCGGCTCCGTCATGCTGTAAAACTCCCCAACACTGATGGTGGATGTGGTTCAGTTTGACAACGGGATTAGGTCCATTGGGACGGAATGCATTGATGGCGCCGTTGAAACGCAACGTGTTTCGAATAAACCGGTCGTTTATGCCGTTCGATATCACAGTTCCTAACCCACCATTCGGCCTTTGCATGAGGGCCACAGACCAATCATTGTACTCAAACAGATTGTTCTGTATCAGCACTCCGTTTCCTTGGTACTCCAGCGCGACCCCGTCGGTTCCGAAGAAGGTGCTGTTTATTAACTGGAAGCTATTACGGCGGTTTGGCCGGATGACTGTCCATAACGGAGGAGCGGTATCACCAAGCATGCGCTTGGAATAAGAGGGAAAGTTAAAACTGATCGAGTGGAAGGAGAGGCCATGTATCACATCTCGTCTACGTTTTGGTTGCGCTTTTAAGGTGGTGCCAAAGAAAGTCAACTGCTTGAAATGCAGATGCTGACAATTGGAAATGGTGAAAGCATACGTCTGTACCTGAAACGTTGAAACCATTTTGATAAGAAGCAATCACTGGATGGTAATGAGGAAAATATTGTTTATAATTTGTTGGAGGTGAGTTGTCTTTTTGTGCCAAAGATAAAGATAAAGATAAGACAAGACAAGACAAGACAAGACAAGATAAGATAAGAACTTTGTTAACGTGTCGAAGTCGCTAGCACACAATGTATACTAATTGGGGACACCTAACTACGATTAGTTATCTAATAATTAATAAAATATGAAATACATGAACGTATGTAGGTGTTTTAAAATATATATATAAAACAGTGAGTTATGCAGTAAGATCAATTGTTAGTTGTTACATAAAAAACAGTCTCTGCAAGTACTGTCCAGCAGGCTAATGAAATCAACCAATTTAATGCGCTTTTTAAAAGTGTGCAATGATTCAGAAGATCGAATAGATTTGTCGAGTTTGGACCAAATGACAGGGCCAAATGTCGGGCCTAAATGCATGAAAGCCGTTACAACCTGCTCATGTACCCTACCATTTGCGGTGCAGGTGAGTGCAGTAATATTCGACGGATGCCTAATACCAGCTACCCTAGTGCATTAAGAGGAAAAGGAAAAGAAATACTTGTTTTCGGCTGCATCTTCAAAGTACAGAAGAAAAATTTCAATATAAACTCACCAATCAAACAGTTGTTGAAATTATCGTGTCTCCAAAATCAAGTAATTTCCTTTATGTTGCCAGTGGGATTGACGCTTTAAAGAAGGGGTAATTGGAGCCATTGGAGGGTATATATACGGTTTCATAAGATTTTTCCAGATTAGTTTTCATGCTAAATACAGTTTGAATAAAGGGGGATTAAGCCTTGAAAAGGCTGGAAAATGCTAAGGTAGGTAAGTAAATTCTGCATAAGAGCCAAGTAGCCTATCAGGTCGGAGCATATTCTTTTTCTGTAACATGACTAGGAGTATTTCTACTCTCCCCTGGATGGGATGCTAGTCCATCGCAGAGTTACCCCCCAGCATTAAATTCGTTGGTACCCGTTTACACACTTGGGTGGAGAGAGGCACAGTGAGAGTAAAGTGTCTTGCCCAAAAACGCAACACAATGTCCCCGACTAGGAGCCGAACCCGGGACGCTCGATCCGGAGTCGGGCGCACTAACCATGAGGCCACCGCACCTCTACAAGAAAACAATGAGAAAATGCTCAAGAAAAGGAGTGATTGCCTTTGTTTACCTTTCCACGTATCCTTCCTTCAGGACTTTTTCCATCCAGCGTTTTCACGTAAACAGTTTTTGTGTTCTTGTTGTAGAACCATTCACCAGCTTTATTAAGAAATTCTAGTTTATCTTCCAGGAAATACTGATTCTGGAACGGCTTGAAGTCGATCTTACCAAACGTGTCGTGGTAAGTGAAAAAGTTCTGTCCGGTTGTGTGGCTTTTTACGATAGCAGTGAAAGTATTGAAGCTACCGATGTTTAGAATAGCCATGGCTCCTGTCGCGTTTAAGCCACTTCCAGCTAAGTTCTGCTCGCCATTATCGATCATTTTTCCACGCCTTGATCTCTTGGCAGACTTTCCCCAGAATTTGTTCAAGAAAATAGTTTTGTCCGACCACAGAGAGTCTGGCCATCGAGCGTTGGTCATCATTTCACCATCCACGAACAGCTGCCAGATATCCCGCTCTATTTGGGCGCTGTAAATCCCATCTTCTCCAAGTTCCCAACCAGCTTCAGGCGTCAGCGGGATTGTTCCATCGATAACTGGAATCTCGTTCTGATAGCCACGAATGAGCATGGGTTGATCTGCACTGCCATGTTTACCAGAAATCTGGAATTCTGATTGATGGTAGCGGCCACTCCGAATGTGGCATTCGTCACCAGGATTCGTCAG